GATTTACTTCCTGATACACGTACAATGTACCTACCTACTTTAATAATTGGTTATATTGGAGGCACAACACGTATCCAGAGGATGGGGAACATGCACAACTTTTGGTAAGTAACAAATATCACTTTGACGATGCTGAAGATTGGATGACTTCATAAGTTTTCAGAAAGTACATTTAGGGAATAACCTTACTGTATTTTGAAATTTGCGGTGGTATATCGTGATTATACCGTCGCAAATTGAGTTTTACTGGCTCTCTGTGTCGTCCGTAAAGATCAGTTTGCGACAGTATAATCACGATTTACCGCCGCAAATTTCAAAATACAGTAGGGTTACATGTATCTCCATTCTAGTTCATATCAGCACGGAATTAGATAAGTCCGTGATATCAGTCATAACAACCAGGGTTTTCACCATTCTAATTCATATCAGCCATAACCAACAACAGAAACGACGATTTTAAGATATTTTTGAGCGTTTTCTTTTTCAAATTCTGGGTCGCTGATCTGCCCCGGATTGGTGACGTCATGAATATTCGAAGTGAGGCGGAATAACGTTGACCTTTCGGGGTCACGCTATTGTTCATGACGTCATGAATAATCAATTTCATGACGTGTCGGGTAAGTCGGGGTCCTTGACGTCATTGACAATGAAAATTCCCGGACGGTATATCGTGTTTATACTGTCGCAAATTATTTTGATTGAGCAATCAAATGTCGTGTTACATCTCAAACGAATTAGAATGTATCCTCGATTATCTTTTCTCGAGTGACATTTTGACAATGGAATAACAGTTGCTATGAACTGGTTACATGTAGCTATATTCCGTCTTTGCGTATTGCAGAGTTATCTTCTCCTCTACCTGCTCACAAGAGAAGATAACTCTACAATACACAAAGACGGAATATATGGTTAATGGACATGTGTTGTCATAGGTACAGCGGTTGCATGTGATCGGCAGATGCGGTTTCAATCGGACCGCGGCACTCATATATTTATAGATAGCAACCATGGTCTTGATAACAGTTTCACAGGAGTGAACAAGAGGCCCAGAGGGCCTGTATCGCTCACCTGGATATTTAAGCAGTCATAGCAAATCATTATCATTCAATATTATACTGCATCATATAGCATATCTCAGGTCTGAAAACCTGAGACAAAGCAGTCATAGAGGAATTTTGGGTGTAAAGCTTTGTGTACTTTAAATGATCAAGATTCCCCACCATAACCTGAAAACATCCATGCTTACAGGATTGGCTTCAGGGTCCTTTCCTGCTTCTGAAGGCTTATAACCAGGTCTTAACATGAAATATTTTCAGACCCCTTTCATATATTGCTGGGCATGCAGAGAAAATAACACTCATGCTATCAAGTCCTTAATGGAGCCCATTACCCATCCCTGAGGACTTCCTCCCTGGGTCATAGCGTGGAAATTGTTGAGATACCCAAGCTCATATTTCTTGTATGGTATGAGATAATCTAAACAACCAATAAGACAACTCTTATATAGACGAAGTATAATAATAACTTCCCTACAGAGAATAGGGACCTAAACTGCCCTGATGTAAGGGAGGTGATACCTGATGAATAAGAGTCGTTACCTGATGTAAAGAAGGTGTAAACATGATGTATGGGTGGTGTATACCTGATGTATGGGAGGTGTATACCTGATGTATAGTAGGTGTATATACCTGATGTATGGGAGGTGTATACCTGATGTATAGGAGGTGTATATATCTGATGCATGGGAGGTATATATACCTGATGTATAGAAGGTGTATACCTGATATATGGGAAGTGTATACCTGATGTATAGATGGTGTATACCTGATGTATGGGAGGTGTATACCTGATGTATAGTAGGTGTATATACCTGATGTATGGGAGGTGTATACCTGATGTATGGGAGGTGTATACTCGAGTTGTAGGAGGTATATACCTGATGTATGATATACCTGATAATCTGGAGGTGTATATACCTGATGTATGGGAGGAGTATACCTGGTACCTGATATATGGGAGTGACCCGAATGTGTTTACTTGATGTAAAGAAGGTGTATACCTGATATACGGGAAGTGTATACCTGATGTAAAGAAGGTGTAAACATGATGTATGGGAGGTGTATACCTGATGTATGGGAGGTGTATACCTGATGTAAAGGAGGTGTATATACCTAATGCATGGGAGGTATATATACCTGATGTATAGAAGGTGTATACCTGATGTATGGGAGGTGTATACCTGATGTATGGGAGGTGTATTCCCGAGTTATAGGAGGTATATACCTGATGTATGGGAGGTGTATATACCTGATGTATGGGAGATGTATTCCTGATGTATGGGAGGTGTATTCCTGATGTATGGGAGGTGTATACCTGATGTATAGGAGGTGTATATACCTGATGTATGGGAGGTGTATTCCCGAGTTATAGGAGGTATATACCTGATGTATGATATACCTGATAATCTGGAGGTGTATATACCTGATGTATGGGAGGAGTATACCTGGTACCTGATATATGGGAGTGACCCGAATGTGTTACTTGATGTAAAGAAGGTGTATACCTGACTTATAGGAGCTGATGCCGGATGTATGGGAGGATTTTATTTGTAGTAGGTTATTTTATTAGATTAAATTCATCTCATCATTTTTATTTATGAAAAGTGTCTGGCACTAGATCATAAACTAGGGAACTTAAATATAATTTCGAAAATGAAGAATGTCTTATATTTCAGTTCCTTTTCCAAATGAATTTTATCACACAGGGGCGCATATGGTAACTGGACTTTTCCCCAAAAGTTTGAAGCAGATACCAAGAGAAATATTAAGTTTACTGAAACATGTGCTTAAAATTTGGGCTCAAGACTCAAAAACTGTGGATAAGTATTGCATAACCCTTTTTGATAATAATATCTGGGATTTCAGCCCAAAAACCAACAGGTTAAAAAATATAGCACTGACACTCCATCCATATTGATATGAAATAGTTGAAATTTGAATATTTCTATAGTGCATAACTCCATAACATACAACCTATAGGGACATGTCAAATGCTACCAGGTTCACATTTATATATACAATGGAAGATATCATATATAATAAATGGGCATCAGTATATATATATATATATATATTGCTGTACACTTAATTAGCATTTGACATGTCCCTGTAACCCACATCTAATGATAGGTAAGTAGTGGGATTATTATTGGAAACCAATATCAACACGTCCAACTCATACAGTACTTTAAAACAAGAGCCCCGTGGGCCTAACAGGTCACATGAGTTGTAATGCCATTGTTATTTGTTGTTGTGATATGACAAAAACAGATATTAGCTAGGTGGCATAGGACTAGTATAGTTAGCGCCTGATAAGGCAGCTCCTGCTAATTCCTCAATATTACATTGATTAATATATATGCTAATTGTATTGACTGTATAAAATTGTATAATTTTATCTATGTACTATAAAGCTCTTTAGAGTGGCTTATGCTAGCTATATATGGCGCTATATCAAATGTTGTACATGTATGTTTATTTTATATACTCTGTATACCACTCTCTGTATACTATGCATATCACTCTTTATATACTATATAAACCACTTCTTATTACCCTTTTTTGATGCTCAGCAATATATATACTACTACAGACAGGTATTACACACGTAATTACTACTACAGACAGGTATGACAACATGTACAGGTATCGCACATGTATTTACTACCACAGACAGGTATCATACATATATTATCACAGAAAGGTATTTCACGTGATATCTACTATCATAGACAGGTATTACACATGTCTACTATCATATAAAGGTATTGCACATGTAGTTTCTGCTACAGATAGGTATTACACATGTATATACTATCACAGACAGGTATTACACATGTATTTATTACTACAGATAGGTATTACACATGTATTTATTACAACAGACAGGTAATACACATGCATATACTATCACAGACAGGTATTACACATGATATATACTAACACAGACAGGTTTTTCACATGTATTTACTATCACAGACAGCTGATATAACACATGCAATTACTTACTATAGAGCGGTTCCTATATATATTGCTATTGTTGTTTTTTTGGGGGAGGGAGTTGAAGGAAAAATAATTTTATTTATTTATTTTCTCATTATATAAATATCTGTTTTACCTTGATAGCTTATATTTGAACATGGTAATAAAGTGCATGCTGTTACCAAGTACCTGGCTTGTGTACAATGCCTTTTAGGTCACAAAATACAATTGTATCTCTACAAAATATATCTAGTGATCAGTATCACAAAGACTTCAAAGAGCATGCACCTGATGATGAAATATCACTTATCTGTTATATATGTATTAAATAATGGAATGTTACTTCTTGTCTGTGATAGTACAGTAAATACAAGTTTAAAAACCAGTTTGAAACAATGAATTAATGTTCCTTACATGATAATATATTGATAGAATATAGAACAAATACATAAGTATGTTCCTTAATGTATGTGATAGTTGAAACAATTTTATCTGAAGCAATATAATTAAAGATCCATAGCCTGTCTGTGATAATAAATACAGGTGTATGACCAGTCTGAAACAGTAAATAATGTTTGTTATAGTTAATACAAGTTTATAACCAGTCTGCAACAATAAATAAAATGCCCATAATCTGTCTGTGAATTTGTATGGGTAATAATACAATTTTATTAAATTACCTTTAAAACATTTAGAGGAAATCCGTGAAGAAAATCAAGATAAAACATTTTAATGACTAAATTGTATTAAAGTTATACATGCAGTAGGATCGTTTTCCTTCAGTTATGAAATACAAAGGATCATCCCTTTCTCCATCACTTACTCCCATCTACCTTCTAATGCTTAACATTTTAAAATAATGTAAATACCGCTATAACCAGACGTATATTTTGGTGGCATCCATTACACTCCTACTTTCACTTTCGCTTTCACATACTTCATTTCCGGTTAAGAAATATGATTCCTTACACACACATATTTATATACATGTACACTTGCTTGGTGTTTCCGGTTTAACACCAAGATCGCCATATTTTGTTCTGTAAAAGACAATGGCCACACATCGGTCAATCCAGGGAGGCCAGATCCCAGTACGACCTAAGCGTAGTGAAAAGTGTGTGAGTCACTGGCAGAACAATGTCATCTTTGCCTGTATCGACTGTCAAATCCTTATTTGTGCTACCTGTAGCATTGGACTACATAAACCACATGAGCTGGTGGAAATTTCCAGCCTTACAAGCCAAAACAAAACTTCACTGCAAGATTTTATCAATGACAATGAAGACAACAAGCTTCCTCGACTTCAGCAGGACATACTATCAGCTAGACAACTACTGTCACCAAACAGTACCAAGTGTAAAGGGCTGGCTAAAATAATCAAAAGTCAAGTGGAAAAATGTAAGGAAGAAATGGAGATCTTGGCTGATGAATTTCTGTCATTATGTGACAAAATGGAATCAGATAACGAGGAGCTAATTCAGCAATACATAACAGGACTTGAAGAGAGGTATGATCTGTTGACAGAGAAGACAAAAGAATGTAAGGAAACCCTTCAGTCTGGAGATAATATTGAAATGTACGTTGTGGTTGCTGAGGTCAACAATTTATATTATACAAAGCTCAATATGCCCTCACTCATGTCAGCTCAGTTTAGCCCCGGTCAAGACTTAAGTGACAAATTAAAGAAAGCAATAGGCACACTGGATATATCTGCTGACCAGCAAGAGGCATCAATGTCCAGTGATCATGAAAGTAGTCGAGCAAGCAGAAGTGGTCAAGCCAGCGGATTTGGTCAAGCCAGTGGATTTGGTCAATACAGTGGAAGTGATCAAGCCAGTGGATATGGTCAAGGCAATGTAATTGGTCAAGCCAGTGGATATGGTCCATACAGTGGATATGGTCAATACAGAGGATATGATCCATACAGTGGATATGGTCCATACAGTGGATATGGTCAATGCATTGGATATGGTCCATACAGTGGATATGGTCCATACAGTGGAAGTGGTATAGGCAGATTTCATCAAGCCAGAGGAGGTGGTCAAGGCAATGGAAGTGGTAAGGCAAAGGAAGCATTTAGTAATTATGAGCAGTGGAAAATATGGCCAACTGTAACTGGCTTAAAAAAATATTTTGGATTCTTCAGTTGGGGAGCAAACTTAACTTGGTATCTAGTGCACACCGTAGTGCACACTACTAACAAGGACGAGCACTTGACAAAACATTGAAGTGCACTCCAGTTCACTTCAGTGTTAACTCCAGTGCACTATGATGTGAACTCCAGTGCACTACAGTGTTTACCAAAGTTTAAAAGACTGAAGTAAATATTTTAATTATTGTTTATAATGAAATGGGTTCCCTTGTGATATGAAAATTGAAAGAGTAAGGAAAGAATCATTCAACTGAATATTTTATAATATGGTACACATATTTTTATTTTTTATTTTTAGATCTGTTTCACACATATGACAGCGAGAATACTACTGATCATGAGGTAGACATCGATCTAAGATCCCTCTTCAACAGTGACGATGAGGATTAGAGATCGATAAGTGATCACTAATGGACCTCCGCTATATCTTTAGTGCTTTGCTATATATTTGAACTTTAGTGCTTCTTTCTGGGTTTATAAGTCTACTGTATGTGTAAATCTTAAGAACCTGTACTGTAACTGTTTATTTTTACATTTATGACCAAAAATAGCTTTGATTTTCCATTACTATCGTTAACTTGTATGCCTTCGTTAGTGCTAAATTTCCATTTATCGGTAACGTTGTCGTGTGTGTGTAAACATGTGTGTGTGTGATTATGCTGCAACATTTGTTATGTAAGTTATTGTGTAAGCGTACTGTAAGTAAATCATGAAATTCAAACACATTATAATATTCAAAACTTTTTTCATTCTTTGTTGTTTTTATGCCTCGCCATAAAATGGAGGGGCAAATAGTGTTGCCCAAGTCCGTCCCGTCCCGTCGCATCCCAATTCAATGTAAACACTTAGCAACTTCATTCTTTGACAGATATTGGTCAAACGTTATACAAAGGTCAAGTATGAGTATACTTCGGACATCGTTGTGTATCACGGATCCAAGGCCAAGGTCACACTTGCTATATATAGAAAATCATCAACTGATTCAATTTAATTAAACACTTAGCAACTTCATTCTTTACAGATTTTGGTGATATCCTTGTGTTTCAGGATGGTAATAAGTGTAGTACCTTGTGTGTGTGCATGTTTCAGGGTATCAAGATCAAAATGGTTGTAACGTTTTATAGAACACTGAAACTACTTTCATATGGCAGCGGGGGCATTTATGTCTTACAGACATTTTCTAGTTTAATCTCATATCTATCATAATATGACCGACGACTCCAAATAAACAAAACTATTTGAAGGGAGGTAATCCAATATGGCGGACAAGAAAATCGAGAACGATAACCCAAGAATGACTTGTTCCTGCGTATAGTGCGCACACCCTTTTTGACATGACAATATTTACCTAAAAAAGTGTGGACTATACGCGCAAATTTACGGTACTTAAAATATCAACTGAACATAAAAAATGTATACATGTACAAAGAGAATTTTTACACTATCTCTGGTGATTATAGAAAATCTATAGACAGCTGTACTATTCCAGAGGAAAAAGATTAATTAAAAGTACACTTTATCATAGTTAAATTCACATCACATTTCATATCAATGTTGTAGTGTTAGGAGGGGGGATTTGCTTCTTTGTTTTATACAAACAAGTCAAGAAAAGATAAAATTCCAGAACAAGAGGCCAAGAGGGTCTGTATTGCTCATCTGGATAATCAAGCAACCATGGGAAATTATTTTTATTAGAAATAAGAGAAAACAAGAGGGATCTTGGCGCCCATCATTGTACCATCTTAATGTCAGTGTGATCTTTTCTCTTCTTTTCTCTAATCTGTTTGATCGAGTCATGTTAACAGTAAATGTACCTTGAGGTAACTTTTGATCTAAACTAAATACTGGTGTGTATAAAAGACAACCTTCAAAGTGAGTTTGTCATTTCACCTGCTACAAGTGACTAGTACAGTACTTAATGCGAAAGAAATAGAATTGATCATTTCAATATAAGAAAGATCTGTTCAGTTCTTCCTTTAGCCATTTTGTTTTTATAATCAGTCTAAAAATGTAATATGCACAACTAGGGCCCAAGGGTAACATACATTTAAAATTTGAGAAAGATCCCTTTTGGCACTTCCTGAGCAATAGCGATAACACACCTTCACTATCAAATCCAAGATGGCTGCCTGTCGGCAATGCTATTTATATGATCAGTGTCAAAAGTTTCCCCTGCACATCTAGAGACCAAGGGGAACCTTCATATAAAATGTGTGAAAGATCCCTCTGGTACTTCCTGAGCAATAGCGATAACAAGAATTGTTAAAGGACGGACCACGGACACAGGGCGATTTGAATAGCCCACCATCAGATGATGGTGGGCTAAAAATCCCTCCAATAGTACAGGAGAAGAAGGATTTTAAAGATTTAAAACTCAAAGTTCCTTTTTGGGCCCCATCCCCCTGCACCCAGAGGGGCAACACCCTCTGTTTATACAACATTAAGTCCCCTTTGCCAAAGTATGTTCAAGGCCAAATTTGGATGAAATCCCTCCAATGGTACAGAGAAAGAAGGATGTTGAAGACTAAGCCTTAAATTTCCCTTTCGAGTCCCGCCCTTCCGCACCCGAAGGGGCTACACCCACGGTTTATACAAGACCGAGTCCTCTTGGTCCAAGGATGCTCCAGACCAAAATAGGATAAAATCCTTTTGTCCCTATCGTAGAAGGATTTCAAATGTTTACCTCTATTTACCCTATAGGGCCCCACCCCTCTGCCCCCAGGGGGGCCACACCCACTGTTTATACAAAAATGAGTGCCCTTGGCCCAAGGATGCTCCAGACCAAATTTGGATAAAATCCTTTAATCTCTATGGCAGAAGGATTTGAAAGGTTTTACCTTTTTTTCCCAATTGGACCCTACTCCTCTGCTGCCAAGGGGTCAAAACCCACCATTTACACAAAATTGAGTCCCCCTGGTCAATGGATGCCCCAGACCAAATTGGGATGAAATCCCTTAATCCATATGGTAGATGACGGATTTTAAAGATTTACCATTAGTTCCGCTATGTGGCCCCGCCCCTCTGTCCCAAACCAATGTTTATACAAAATTGAGTCCCCTTGGCCCAATGATGCTCCAGACTAAATTAGGATACAATCCCTTAAAACCCTTCGGGCAGGTGAGCTAAAAAAGTAAACACAAGAATTTTCACCAGGTTTGTTTCTGTGTAACATTTGTACAACACGGCCAGCAACTGACACCAGCTCTGAATTGTGTACCAGTGTCTAAGACTGTTGTGTAGTTTTATTAAATACATGTTCATGATGATCAACACCAACTTGAAGCTTGGTTTATAAAATATGCATTGCATGGTGTAAACTTTCAATCAATTAACACCAACGAATACATATATATGCTATCCATATCCAAGTTCTTCTTTTTTGTTGCTAATGGTTCCCAATTCAAACGACAAATTCTTGGTGCGTTTTACAGGGTGAACAAGATGGTACAATGCACATGTTTTGGGTAAAAGTACACAGTTTGGATACAGGGATTGTTTCTACTGTGGCTTAATCTGATATCATTGTTAACTGTATATAAACTTTATTTTCATCAGCTAGCAATTGGCAAAATACCAGCTATACAATGTTTCCCAGTACACCCTCAACCAAGCTGATTCTGAAAAAAAATGCCGAAAGAGTCTGAATTGCAGACAGGTAACATTTATATGTATACAATGGTATTGTTTGATATATTTTCAATACAACATATTTTTGTATACATCCAATCAATGGGCTTTGACAGTCATATTTATTTAAACAAACTTGGATTGAAACATACTTTCACCCTACTCCCATAACATGAGAGGGCGCTGGTCGGCCTTTTTCCAATCGGATATGATTTTGCCGACTGCGACCTCTCATTTCCGAAGCACTAATTCTTTGATGCAGTTTCCGCCCGAAATCCGGGCGGAACACAATCGGCTTGAAAAACTCACTTAAGTGGTTAACAGTTCATGACAACGATGTCTCCTCACGGTTTATATAATATAGATCTCATATGTATGCCACAGACACAAATATATAGTATATTACGGACTAGAACACTCAAAATACATGTCCATGTCGTTGTAGCACATCTCTGACCTACATTTAAAACATGGCTTCTGGATTAATACAAAATAGCAGGGGGGATTTCAAACGGAACGAAATGATACGGAGTTTGTTTGTATTCCGCTTGTGAAACATTACATGTAATTCATTTTTGTATTAACCGGAAAAATCATGGCAAATGCTGTCTGCTTCGCTTCGAATGAGGAAAAACTCATTATTTATGTCTTTGACACGAAATTTTTCTCATATAATCATGGATTTATGGAAAAGATTATTTATTGGACCCTTTTGACCATTTACATGTATGTTAACACGATATACTCTTTCTTAATCCGAACTTTGAAAATGTGATCGTCAGCATCGGGAAAATCAGCTATGGGCAGTTAGAGGTTACGCGGCGCCTGTCAAAAGTTTTTCGCCGTGTAAAACCTCTAACATTGTTGGAGTAACTTTCACCCCTGCAATTAGACTAGATATCAAATCTCTAGGAATAATGGTTTTAGATTAATAAAAAAAGAAATTTTAAGATTTTAATCCATTTAACATTGATTGTCAGTTCAGGTACATTGTAAATGCAGTGTCTCTAACTGAGCATTTCAGGATTTCTCAGGTGGAGATTTTTCTGGCTCATCCCTAAAGTTGGGACAGATCATACTTCTCTTCAACTGTTCACAGATATTGTCAAAACACAAGATTGACTACCAAAGGTCGTGTTATATTTGACCTTCAGGTTTGGCAATCCATTAAAGCTGTATGCCACAAAGGGTTCAGCAGTAATAATTACCTATATACTGTCTGAGGCAATATATACATATTCTATTATATCAATTCTTTCATTCAAAAGGAACATGAAAAATGACTGGGTGATGCATACACAGTTTAAAGGCTGAATTGTGGGCAATACATTTCTTTCTTTCTATTTTTAGTGTCTGATAGATTGTATTATTGGTGAAAATGTACATTCAAAGTTTCGTCTTTTCAACAAACAAAGGGAGATAATCTTTAACAACAGCAGTGATCCTTTTATCCATGTCAAAATGCAAGAAAATCTTATATGCAAATACTGATTCAAGAAAACAAAATACACTGTATTCAACTAAAAATGTTTTATTGTGTTAATCTTTCATCATAAAACTTAATGATAAAAATAAAGCCAGATCATATTTTCTTCACAAAATATAAGTTCTTAGCTTATAGGATCATTTTTGTTTCATATAAATCTTGATCTCTTTCATAGTGCTTGTTTCTGTATCTTTTTATCATATTCCTTAAATTCTACTCTATAGATATTTTAAATATACCTGTATCATCAACTTACCATAAACATGCTCTAACATCTTTTACCATATGAATTATTTCAATGTACATAAGACACCTTATAATTGTCTCTCCATCACAAGGGGAAGTAAAACAGGTTATGCTGATGTTAAGTTCCTTTGATGTGCAGACATATACTGTATTTGTCAAATCAAGAGCATTTAGAATGATTGCAGTATTTGAAATCAAGTGCTTATTTGAAAGTAAACCTTAAAAACTGAAAACCGAAGTATTTGTACAAAACTGTACATTGTGGTTACCTTCTCAGTTACTGTGAATCATGTTTGTGTTATTTTTACACAATAAAGTAGGAGTGAACTCCAATACTTTCCAGGAAAAGAGGAGGGAGTGATCTATGAGTGTGTGTTCAAGCAAGCTGTGCTTAAAATGACAAATACGGCTGATTAGAACTCTGCAGGATGGTAAACTGTATGTACACAGCCTGTAAACAGCATTAACATTATCACAGTCTCACAATCAAAATCAGTCATTTTCATTAGCTTGGTTGTCACAAAACATCCAGGCTAGGTACCCGTTCCTTCATCTGTTTTCATTTCCTCCTGTATTGATTGTGTTTCCATTTTCCTTTTCTTAGGTGCGACATATGATCCCATTCCTGCAGCCCTTTCTGCCTCTGCTACTGTGTAGGGTTCCAATTCCAAAGCCTTTAACCTTAAGGGAAGCAATTATAAAAACAATTAGTTCTAATTCAATCACGATCAGTATATTCCAAGAAATATATAAGAGTACAAGACCGGGGTATTACTGTATTTCATCAGATTAAAATATCAAAAAAAGAAAATTGGACTATATAGAATCAAATTTGTTATAATCAGTACTTACAATGGTGAATGTGAGTGACTGTGCAATATACTGGTATGATTTACATTTTTTATATAAATATGACTGGTTATTACCTTTACATTTATCTAGTACTGGTACTTTTTCATTTCTAATGCAATGTTTGTTATAAATGTTTTGTTGCACTTAACTGTCATCCAAAGATAGTCCAAATACAATATCTACATGTATCTTATTATACTAATTTAAGCAGTGCCTATTAAACATTATACCTATGATTTTAGTAGAGTTACTTCCCTTCTTGTAGTTTGTGACTAGCATATTTTGCCTTGAAAAGTTACCAATTGACATACACTTGTGTACTTGTGTACCATTCAGATGTGTCATTGACATCAATCAATCGAGTCCAAATTACCATAAATGAAAAAATGATTGACAAGTTTCGTATTGATAATTTGACATTGAAACTGTTTTGAACACACAGTTCCATTACAGCATTATTTGTCTATATGTAAACAAGAGTACCGCAGGGCGGAACAATATACGCCCGTCGAATGCCATATAGTGTTATATACTTTCTTACATTGAAATAAGATCTGCATCATTCGAAGAGTGGTTAGCCGACATGCTATAAAAAATGTAGGAGAAAATCTCCGGACAAAAATTCAAATACTGAAATGAACAAAGGGCAATAACTTTTGCAAAAATCGTCGAATCAAAATTCTTTTCAAGGAAACACAACAACGTATCATGATTATTTAGCCTACCAAGTGTCGAAGAACCTGTATAAAAATGTTAAGAAATATAGGTTTCATTTGTAACATTCAGTAAAGCTCACCTCCTTTTGTGGGGCTTGCCTCGGAAATGCTCCTTCAGGGCATGTGTGTCGATGAAGTACTTCCTAAAATGAAATTTACCAACATCAAATCAAGAAATACATGAACATTACATAATATTGATAATGCAAAACCGTTATACAGCACCATGTATGATTGCTTAAATAACTTAAAGGCCCTTTAGAACACAAATGGCAGGCTCTGACACTAACTTTTTAACCAGGGAGACCACATGTACAGGCCTATATATAGCTAGGTCTCCCTGGGAAATAAATTGGAGGACCCTCCTGAAAATCAAGGGGGCCGAGCATGATTTTTTTCTGTCAATTGAAACTTCTGATATCTAGAGTTTTGATTGTCAAATGAATATAAAAACAGCGACAAATTATTGATTTGGTTGTTCCATTGTTTTGATTTTTTTTATATGGCAGAGGATTTGTGTCAAGCTATCTAAACAAAAACATGTGGGAATGTCATTATCATTATATAAGCACTTAGCTTTCACTTGTTTATTTGTCTATAAAGTAAGTTAATTTGAGATGATTCCCTGACTTACCCTGGTTACCTTGATGAAAGGTGAGTGTGTTACCCAATCCACCATGTGCACCCCAACACCCGAATCATGTGTTAAAGCCTGTATGCCAGTGCATGGTATACAGTACATCATAAATAGTTTTCAACAATACATCCTATGACTCAAAAGTACTTATATTATTTAACAAGCATTATAACCAGAATGTCTGCTCGCCTTCCTTCAAGGAATTTGATGAAGCGCTCTATGAATTTTTATCTAGTTAACACTTTATTCCTATAATGACAGAGGGAGTTGTGCAAACAAAGCTCAAGGACAACTCCTATAATGGAGTTCAAACCTACTCGTGGAATTCTCCGACGCCGTTTTGTGGTGACATCAGAATCTGCTACGACACATATATCCATAAATGGCCATGGGTTATTTATTTATCCAAAAATGTCCTTAGTATAACCAACTGCTGCTAGATTCTGTCAGTATTCAATTTTCTACTTGAAAGACGCCATTTTGTAGATTATACAAATTACACAGGAGTGACTTATATATGAGCAACATACTGTACCGCTATACATGTAGTACAATACTAAACATATTTTTATATTTAACAGGCTGGGCACAACGGCTCATATCCGCGGGTAATAATCCTGCATTTGGGTAACAGTTACCCAAATGTAGGATTATTACCCATATGGGAATGTTGTGCCCAAACTGTTTAAACAAATCTTGACGGACTCTACTTGTTGTCAAAATGTCTCAGTCTGGTCACAGGGGCTTTTTACAAATGTCTGAAATTTACATATATACTATACTGATATGGGTCACAACACACATAAACATACTTATGTGCTTTGTGACCCATATCAGTATAGCATGTGTATTTCAGACATTTGTAACGAGCCCCTGTGGTCTGGTCATAGGGGTACGATGCAACGTACCGAGCGAACTGAAAGCCTAGAAATCAATATTAACAGTAGTTGCGTGCCCCTGTGGTCTGGTGTCAGGGCCAGAGGAAACTCGGATAAACATGTTGAACTAAATTAACTTCACATATTATCCATATAGTATACATGTGTCTTAAAATGTATTTTGTTTAACAAACGTAACTTGTGTTACAAGACATGAATGCCATAGAACCATCGACAACCTATAATGACTTTTGCTTGTGAATTCACCGTTATTTTTCTTGACGACAGAAACATCTAATAAATGTCAAAATTATGTCCAGCACACGTAACATAGCAAGATATACATACGCGCAATGTAAACAATAAAACTTTCCAGCTCCTGGCTTGTCAAAATCTGTCTCCTGATTAAGTAATTTCTCGGCGTTTCCTGGCTTCAAATCTTCGTCTATCTGGTCCCAGTCCTTAGTTTTACGCTTCGTCCGGTATTTCTCTTTAAGAGGCTTGTCACCTTTGTGTTGTTTCTTCCTAGCTAACCTTCCCATTTTATCACAAACAACAGTCAAAGATTACACCACGTGAAAAGAAACACCGGAAGTAGCAAATTTTCTAATTTTCATTATGAAGAGTTCGGCATACGAGTTACTTCCCTTGTATTAGAGTGCATTACACTTGACGTAAAAACGAATACCTTGTTAAATCAGAGACGTATAATATATGTATTATACGTGTCTGGTTAAATCAAGCGTGTAGAAGTTGACATATATTGTACTTTAATTTGTGAGGTTTAAATTAGACATTCATTCGATTTAATTAATGTTTCCATTTTTTAATGAGTAAACATTTCAATTTATATCACCGAAAGTAGGGAAAAGTAATAAAGTCACGGTACCTCAGTATGATATAGATATCTATTGCATCGGAGCGTGGTAAAAGAGACAATTTCTTGGAAATACGAGTAAATAAATCCTGATTTTTTTTTCAATTGAAAATCATCACAAGATCGGTACATTTACATATTCATGAATGGAAATAACAGTCTACTTTTAAAAAGGTAACTTTATCAGTTACAGTATGTACGTATACGTACACATATTTTTTTTTATCGCATTTCACAAGATCTTTCTACCCATTTTCCTGAAGTATTTCCTGTTATTAGTATGGTACACATGGCTGTGAATACATGTTTATACAACTATAAGAATATGACAGCAACAATTTCTTAAACCTTTAGGCCGAAACCTTTTATACACCGAAAGCTCGTTAATCAAACACATGGTCAAATGTCAAGTGTGAGTGTCACCTTGATTGTGTGTCCACCGCCCTCACCTCGATTTGTTGGTTCTTGCGGTTAAAAGGCCAGATAGATACCTAAACGAAAAATTTGAAAAGATTTTAAACGGCTCTCAATATTTCCTCTTTATGGCTTATTGTTACGGTTGTAAGTTGTGAATAGCCAGCGTGCTATGACTTTGATACCTGTATATATAGGGTTTACGTGGTATATTGTCACGTAATTACATACTAAGCCGTCAATTTTCCCTACTTTAACAACACATTTGTTAAACACGTGCAGATACCGTAATCTTTCGACTAACCCAGCTCAGGTCAGCATCAGGCTGTTGGACATTTTACTATACCGTACAGCTAGTAGTGTACATTAGACATATGTTATACCAACGTGTAACTAAGCCATCTCCAATCACCATTTATAGTAAGAACAAAACAAATGCTTTAAAAGGCAGAAAGTTACAAATGATTAAGATGAATATACATGTAAGTCGTCAATACACGGACTTAGATAGCAATCTTAAATATAATCTAATTCTGTGATAATATAATGTTGAGCTGGCCTAATGCGATTTTGCAAACGATTATATAAATAGGTTTGCATCTGACGGCATGTATTGAATTGGATGGCTCTTGGCTTGGCCAGTTTAACAATTACGAGGTCAGATCACAGGAAAGTGTCACAGGTGGTTCAATATAGAACTTTAAGGAAAAGACAAACAAGGACGAGTAATTAAGAAAAGAGAAAGGCAATGTCTATGGAGATGAGATATTAAGAAACATGGACGATAAGAAAACAATACAAAAGGACAAGTTTGATGTTCTAGGAATGAGGCGAGAAAGTGCATTATTAACATTTAATTGAAAACAGTGATGACTAATTTGTGTATTGCAACATTATGATATATACTGTTGTCGGTTAGCGTGACTCACACATTAATCTGCCAATAGTTAGAGGTATTGACACTTTAGTATATATATAAGTAAATACTGCATACATGTTTATGGACGTGTAATCAACTTTCATCGTTTACCCACTTACTTCACTGATCGTAGTCACAGGGACCTGAGAATTTGTTACAACTATATTTGGACCTAAACTAAGGTGTTTAGAGTAATTTTACACGTTTAGTGGGTTTAGATCGATTTTCGGTAAAAATGCCACCCCCAATGATCATACGAAAATCGATCAAAACCCCCCAAACGTGTAAAATTACTCTAAACACCGTCGTTTAGGTCCAAATATAGCTGTAACAAATTCTCAGGTCCCTGTGATCTTATTGATGGAAACATATCTGTTATGTTCTATGATGCAGCATTGAGATTAACCTTATTAATACATCATGATCATAGTGAATTGCCCTCTTCTGGTTTTCTCTGCATACTTGCACTATGTATATATAATTAATTCTTATAGGACAATCTATTTTGATGACGGTAATGGATTAACATGTCACGACGCCTGGTTAGCTTTCTCTACCAGTGTATATGTAATGCAAAATATGAGCGTGAATTTTTAAGTTATGTTAATAAAACAGAGCTAAATCTAAAGTCAAGAAACTTGACTAACACGCAAAAAAATGGCGTGCAGAAATTTTAAAGAGTAGAGATCTAGAGCTTATACATATCTTGGTGTTTGAGAGGATCTGTTTAGAGCGTAACAAAATGCAGCTCCACATTTTAGTTTATATAGTAACTTTTGTCCAGACACTATGTAGCTTCTGACCACCTACGACCACTAGCCCTGCAACACCGGGTCGAGGGTTCGTACCATCCGCAGGTTGGTTGATTTTCCCCGGGTACTCCGGTATTCCTCCACCAACAACACCTGGCACGTCCTTAAATGACAAAAGCTGTTGACAAGACGTAAGGCAAAACCAAACCACATCAAAGCAAACCAATTAATATAGTTAGGATAGTTTATATTCTGATATATCATCCTCGATACTTCAGGGGTTACGCTCACTTTCGCTTTCCTTACCCATGGAAAATATCAAAGCAAACTTGAAGTCTCAGTGTACCGCACCTTGTGGATGAGACGAAAAGACCTGTATGTACATTAAAAAATTATTGCGGTCGCGTAATGATAAAATTGAAATGCTTTGAAGTCGGGTGTCGCTCCTCTGTAATCATCAAAGGGCAGGTATCAGCCTAGATATTGATCAGTTTTTTCTATCTGAGACCAATCAAATAGCTAGTCGCGTGCCTTCAATTTTGCAATGACATATTCCAGGGGTGCAGAGAGCGAAAGTGAGCGCAACCCCTGGATATCGAGGATGTGATATATGGAATTGGAAGAGTTTGCTTAAAAAAGCTGGCTCTTCAATCATAAGAACATTAAGAGAAAGCATTAGAGAGGATTTAGAGAGAGTAAGCCTAAACACAAAATTGTAGAATTCAGGTTTTCTTGGAGCTTGGAAACATACACTTCAATGAGGTACGCATGACGTACAGAGAAGCAGCAAAATAAGCTACTGATTAAAGAGGCTGAGTAGCGCGGCAAACACCCCTCTAAGTTTGGGCGAGGGAGTAGATGATATTGGCATGATCCACTGATGGCCAACAATTGCTCAGTACAGATAACCTTTTGATATTTTTGCAACATTCTGATAAAAACAAATCAAAATTAGCTTATCAGATGATCTTTAGAAGTTAACCTGTGTCTGGATATTTTCGGTAACATGTTGACTGAGAGAAGGAAATGTCGGGATACTTTCGGTAACGTGTGGACTGAGAGAAGAAAATGTCGGGATATTCTCGGTAACGTGTGGACTGAGAGAAGGAAATGTGTGGACTGAGAGAAGGAAATGTCGGGATATTTTCGGTAACGTGTGGACTGAATTTCTTTATTAATTTAATGTCCCACGAGGACGGTTTAAACGTACGAAAGGGCAACTCAAGGACAATGTGACAATGGAATGACGCTGTAAGGTCGCAGCATGAATAGCATGTATTATTTGTAACCACTTTATTGGACTACATACGGTAATCTGCCAGTGTGTGTAATCCCCGTGTTTATATGAAAGCAGTCTTGATTTATTATGGAGTCTTTATTCCCTAAATAACATAGCTCCTCTGCCAATACAGCTATGTTTCAATATTCTCTTTCAAATTATTAACAGCTTGTGATAAAAAATAAATTGCCACGAAATAACAATACTCTGATCTGACTTTGGTCCATTTCCAGGTGGGCCATTGCGTCACCAGCTGTGTGTCAATGCTTGTCACCTGTATGTCAACTGTATAGTCTGGAGACAAAACACGTGTCACCTTTACAAATAAAGCCAAAACTACCTCAAATAAATTTAAGTTTGTTGAGCTTAAAGGATATATTATGTGTGTGTGTATTAAACCTCAGAATGGAAGGGGCCTATAGATAAAAATTCACCGTATATATCTCAGGAAACCTTTATAGACATATGTAGTGTATCAATTATCTGTGTAAAGTGAAGACTTATAAAATAATACAGATACAAAACCACAAGCTCAGTATGTGTAGTCACCATAGTTTTTTTCTAATTGAAAAAAACAACAGAGCAGCTACTTTTTACAAGATGTCAAAGCGATCTCAAAAATAATGTCTGCTTTCTTGAACCTTTATTTTGTTGACATACGAATTTTCCTTTTAATGAAAGACGACAAAAGGACTTTCAAAAGTAAACATGATGTGCGGTTTATTTGTGTTTCAGGTTTGTCTATATAGGGACTTGTTAACATTTCAAAATAAGTTATCATTGAATTTTATTTTGGGAAAATGGTTTTAAAACGGTTTCATAATGCGTATATTTCTATCGAACAATTGTTCTTTTCAATGCATATATAGACGTAAATGAACGCAAATTTCATTAATCCGAACATGGATATTAATGAAGTTGTAGCCCGTATGTAATAAAATGCCTTCTATTTTTGTTCTTTCGTCTGATAACTTGCATCGAAAGACCAATCATTGACCGAATAAACTTAAAATACACACAGGCCGCACGTGCCTTTTATGAGCATATAATAAAACTCGCGGAGAAAGGACATTCTGTAAGGCTTGTTTTCTATATCTACTGACATGTCTTACAAACAAAATTATGATCATTGGTGACAGGTTGAGTCCATTAGGGAAAATAGAGGTAATCTCAGACCTTCTCGCCTCACTATAGCTTGCCGTATTGGTTATGTCAGGGTACCACCCCTGTGATATGTATCTATTGCTGAAAAACCAAAAACGGTTCGAGTTCTGTTTACAATAGAGACTGAAGATGTTGTAGACATTAAGGGTACATGTATTTGCCTTCGGATATGTTTGGTCCTTGTTACTGATAAGACGTCTCGGCCCAGTTGTTCA